TGGGCCCCAACCGGCCCCCCCCCCCCCAGCTGGCCCCGCCCCTGATCACCACCACCCATTGGGGGCAGGACCGGCCAGAACCCACCCATGCATGAATTCATGCACCAGGCCTCAAATACATATATAAAAGAGATTAGTACATGATTTTCAGTGGGCAATTTTGTAAAACTTACACTTTCTTTTTTTTTTTTTTTGGTTAATCCTCCCCTGAGGATATTTTCCCATTGATTTTTAGGGAGAGTGGAAGGGAGAGGGAAAGACAGAGAGAAACATCGATTGGTTGCCTCCTGTATGAGCCCTGATCCGGGCTGGGGAGGAGCCTGCAACCAAGGTACGTGCCCTTGACCGGAATCGAACCCAGGACCCTTTGGTCCGCAGGCTGACACATTATCCACTGAGCCAAACCGGCTAGAGCTAGGCTTTCTTAAACCAAGAAAAATTTAAATGTCTACCGATTCTGAGAGGCAATCTAGACCAAGACAATACTCCAGGTGCCGAAACTGAATGGTTCCATCCTATTCCAGTAGGGTTCCCTTTACAATGACTGTCACAAATGTACAATAAAAGAACTGGCTCCCCATTTTAATAAGTTTAAGCTTTGATTCCTGAGATTACATAAGCAGGGTCACTTTTAATATTTGGGGGGGGGAGGGGAGAAAAAGAACTCTCGGGACATTCTCATATGGAGTTGAAAGAAATCTGGTCAGAAGGTTATTTGAAAATGGAATATTCAAATTATGACTTGGCGATCAGGAAGTCGTTTAAATAATTGAAAATGAAGAATGAGCTGCAAGAAGTCGCTCTTTGGTGGTTATCTTTGTTTCAATTGCCAGGAGCAAGAAGTAGGTTTTAAAAATAGACTCCCCAGGACAGAGCCAGTGCCTCTGACAGGCTCTCAGAGGCAGGATTCTAGAAATTCCAATCATTTAACAAATTGTGCCATTAAAAGTCATAATAGGTCTAAGAGCCATTCTTCAAAGAACTTACTAAGTAATTTGACCTACATAATCATCTTGTTAAATTCATTTGATATCACGAGACAGTTAGTGAGATATGCATAGTGCATTATATTAAAGAGAGGAGCACCCTTCAATTGGTATCTGATGTGCACTTTGCAATCGGAGCTATTAGTTGTCTGTAAAAGTCCTAGACATGATTGGATCGGATTGGATGACTGTTCTATCGTTTTACTTTGTAACACAGGGGTGGAGATTACAGGCCTGCTAGTGCTTACTAGGAAATATTTAACGAAGGATGTTTTATTTATTAGCATAAAGAGACACAGTGGGTTATCGGGTGATTAACGTGCTGATGTGGCTGGCGTACTTGTCAAAAGTATAGCGCTAATTCGATAGCAAGGCGACAGCCAGTCTCTGAGTTGATGTATGCCTGCGCAAACCGAGTCTGAAAGCAGGGCACTGCCCACTTAAAAGGATCTTTGTGAATTTCTGTAATTGCACATTATCAAAAGCAAACAGCCGCCGCCGCCGCCGGCCCACTGAGCGAGTTCTCCGTTGTAAATCTGCCTTCTCTCTGCCAGGAGCCCCTGCGTTGTAGCTTTGGCATCCCTGACATCCCAAATCAATAACAGGGAACGCTATTTAATGCTACTAATCTATGTGGGAAACACAATGTTTTCATAAGAAGTAAATTGAGAAGAGAATTCAACAAAGGAGCAAAGGAAGAAAAGAACTAGCATTTATTGAGTGCCTGCTGTGTGCCAGGCTCTGTGGGGTCTCACAAATACTGGCGGGCCATCTCGTTGGATCCTCCACAAAGCTGTACGGCAAAGGAAGAAACAAATTGATTTTTAAATCTCGAGTTGCACACATTTTCTATTTTGTCCTTTGCTTTCCTTTGGTTTGTGTACGTAAAGCCCTACGAGTAGCTCTCAGCATCAGAACTACTTTGCTCCGGGTTGGGAGGGAAAAGTTGTTAATATCACTTGTCCACAAACAGATGGACTGTAATTAGTGTGCACATTTTATCAATTTTTAACTCTTGCTCAGAGGACACTTGATCGGGATTTTACTCAGGCACAAAATGTATCTTCTAAAACACTAGCTCTTTGCCAACCACGTGAGTTTAAAGAAATCTCGTAAGATCATTAACTACATCACGTACATGATCCATTTTTCTTTAATATTTGTTGATTGTATTATTTGCATTTCAGGAAAAATTTAGGGCTATTTCAGGGTAGAAATATTACAGAGTCTGGTTTGTTTCAGGCTACAAGCCAAGCTGTGGTACCCTTTGCCAATTATTTCAATGTGCTAAAAGCTGAAATTGACCCATTGCCACATCAACCTTAGGAGCTGTCTAGTTTCCAGCGCCCTCTGCTGGTCCTCTGTGAGTTGATCACCCTCCTAACTCAGCCTGGGGAGGAACCACTCCTCAGGAAAGGGTCATCCAGATCAGAGTCAGATCCTCAGTCTCGGGGTTCAGAACTTGAATGCTGGTGGTAAGCCAATCTCTAGGCAGGCTCTGGGGACCAGTGGTCCCCAACTAACTCCCCGGAATGCTCTCTGCATCCCGTCCTCTCCCCCAGGCTCCGGGGTTCCTACATCCAGCTGCCTGTGTTCGTGGACCACCACTCTCTCTGCTGCTCAGCCCCCAGACCTAGAAGTTGGCTGTGACGTCTTTCTTTCCCTCGCCCGGCACACAGTAGGCCCTTTGTAAATACCTGCTGAATAAACTGAATGAATAAGGAAGCAGAGATGGGAAGCAGAACTTCAGGGTGTTCATTCACCAGGAAAAAATAGAAAAGCATCTATGAAGATGGAAAGAACGTCAGCGTGTCATTTCCAGGTAGGCAGCCCAAGGTGGAGAGCGAGGCCAGGGCCAGTTTGTCCCTGCTGGCCCTCCCTCAGTGAGGCAGCACTGGCTCCCTTCTGATCCCCACAGCGGCCCTGCGGCAGGGCAGGGAGTCTAAGCTATGTTCCCATTCCCTCCTTGCTCCCTGAAACTGCACGCTGGTTAGTTCCTTCCTTGTGACGGACCTGGATGGCCGCTGAACCCCCAGTCTGTTTATGGGCCGTCTGGTGATGTGTCTCGCGCCTTTAAGGAGCTCATCCGTGTCAGGATGTGTGGAGTCTTACCGGTGTCACCGCTGAGTGTAACTTTTTCCTTGCTCTGGGAGACCCTCACGTGGCCCCTTTGGCCACTGATCACTGATCTTTTTTTTATTTTTTTAATCCTCACCCCAGGATATTTTTCCATTGATTGTTAGAGAGAGTGGAAGAGGGAAATGTCAATACGAGAGAAACACATTGATTGGTTGCCTCCTGCAACTGGGCCGGGGAGGAGCCTGCAACTGAGGTATGTGCCCTTGACTGGAATTGAACCCAGGACCCTTCAGTCTGCAGGCTGACGCTCTATCCACTGAGCCAAGCCGGCTAGGGCTGACTACTGATCTTTATCGGCCAAACTTGGTAAATAAAATTTGACATACTTGCAATTCAAAGTATTTTCTAAATTATCTGGGCTAGTTTGATTTAAACAGACACCCTTTGATATATATATATATATGTATATGTGTATATATATATATGTATATGTGCATATATATATATATTCATAATACACATATTGATAACAACACATACACATTTCAGCAAGTTAGCATCAGGCTAATCTCACCACTCAGAGATAACTTCTATTCACATTTTGATGTATTTTTTAAAAAGAGTTATTTTTTAGAGCAGTTCTCAGTTCACAGCCAATTCCAATGGGAGAAATGGAGATTTCCCATATACCCGCTGCCCCAGACATGCTCAGCTCCCCTCGTTATCAGCACCCCCCACCGGAGTGGGATATTTCTGAAAATTGATGAACCTAGATCGGCATCATTATCACCCAGAGTCCATCGTTGACATTAGGGTTCACTCTTGGTTTGACCAAGGTATAATGTCACATGTCCACCGTTACAGTGTCGTACAGAATAGGTTCACTGCCCTAATGATCCTCTGTGCTCTGCCTAGTCATCCCTCCCTCCATCTTCCCCCAACCCCTGGTGACCCCTGATCTTTTCATTTGGGCTTAGTTTTTAGTCTCTCTTTTATGTGTGTGGGGGGCTATATTCATATTATAATAAAACCGGGCATATACTATGCATGCAATTTTATTTTCTGTTTCATTTTCCTTTTAAACTTTTAAGAGTTTATATTATGGAAATTCTCAGACACACCTCAAAAAGGGTACCCTAGCCAGTTTGGCTCAGTGGACCGAAGGGTCTTACGTTTGATTCTGGTCAAGGGCACATACCTCGGTTGCAGGCTCCTCCCTGACCCAGACCCTGGTCAGGGCTCATGCTGGAGGTAACCAATCGATGTGTTTCTCTCACATTGATGTTGCTCTCTGTCTTTCCCTCTCTCTCTCACTCTCTATAAAAATCAATGGAAAGATATCCTTGGGTGAGGATTAAAAAAATAAAATAAAATAAGGTAGGATAGAAAACTACAATGAATCTCCATGTGCCCAACACCTGGCTGCAGTAATCATCCACATTTTGCCAGTTGTGTTTCATCTGGCTCCTTCCACTGCTTTTTTTTTTCTTCCTGAAGTATCTTGAAACAAATCAAAAGCACCATGTTATTTCACTCACAGCACTGAAATATGTATGTGTGTAGATGGCCTTTTCCATTGAGCATGACATCATGAACAGTTTTGCTTGTTATTTGCTATGGTTTAAAATATTCTTCTTTAACAACTGTCAAGTATCGTCATGGTTTCTATGTATTACAAACCTTTGCGTGCATCTCTGATCATTTCCTTGGGATTCAGCCCTCGATGTGAATAACAGGATCCAAAGGTAAGAATTCTAAAGACACAACAAGCATCACAAGGATTGCATCAACTTAGAGTCCTATCAGTGGGGTGCGAAAGGGCCTGTTTCCTGAGCCCTCATGGACGCTAAGTGTTACCAATTGTATGGGTCAAGGTTCCCTTGCAGATAACAGAATCTACTCCGGTTGGCAGCAGCAGATTTCTTACCAGATATGAGGGAATCATTGGAAGGTTTGGAAGAGCTGATTGAGCTCCCAGGAATGAATGACAGAACCACACCACAGACTGGCTCACCAAAGGAGCTGGCCGGCCTACGTCGGGAAGCTGGGAATGAGAAGCTGTGGTCACAGTTGCAGGCTCTAGGTTCACAGTGCCTTTGCCATGATTCATACTCTCTACAGGGATTCTCTTAACCCCCAGGAAACTGGAACTGGAGCTGGGTTTTCTACTACGAGTGCCATGGAAACTCCACGTGCCTCTATGACCTTGCTTGCTGGCAGGAGCAGCCGAATTATGGCTTGTGCCTCCTAATATCCATTTTTATTGTCTAATTTCAAATGAGCACGTTGCTGGAGTGACCACACAGGAGGGTCTGATCTCAAATTCCTAGCAGGGCAGGTCATGGCGGCAGTCACGTCCCAGGCCTTAGTCCCGCTCCTTAGCAAAGGTCAGTCTTCACCTTCAGTGCACTCTGTCCATTGTTCTTTTTATTGAAAGAGATAATATTTTTTAATAACTTTATTGATTTCAGAGCAGAAGCGGGAGAGAGAGAGAGAGAGAAACATCAATGATGAGAGAGAACCATTAATCGGCTGCCTTCTGCACGCCCCCTACTGGGGATCGAGCTCACAACCTGGGCATGTACCTCTGACTGGAATCGAACCTGGGACCCCTCAGTCGGCAGGCCGATACTCTATCCACTGAGCGGCTGTCTGTTGTTCTTACGCGTCTAGGATGACATCCAGGGAAATGGCAGAGCCATTTTCTTGTCTAGGCCCCTCGAAGGCACAGGGCATGAGACCACAGAACCCCTCAGTGTTACCCTGCTCCCCGCATACCATCTCCAGGTGCGGAACTGCTCATTAGTGACCATCCTGCACCCACCAATGCACAAGAAGTTCGCTTTATGTCCGGCCCTAGAGGTGTCCCCGCTTTGCTTTCTCCTGCCTCCTTAATCCATGACCAATGGATTTCATGCACCTTCCTTATGTTTTCTCCTTTGATTCTAACATATAAAATAAGCTGTAAAACTGCCATTCTCCCCAGCATTTTTCTCAATCCCTTGATCTCTTGCTTTGGGGCATGTCCTCAAAATTTTGGCTCGAACTCTTATAAAAGTTTTCTATAGGCTGGACATTTTTTGCCAACACCTCAGAACCAACACAGAAGCAGGGGCTATAGCTCATTCTGTATCTTTCCTCTCATATATCCATTTGGCAGAAACAGCGATGGTCCAACCTCCTAGGAACCACTGCTTTGGATCTAACACAGCCGTGGGCAAACTATGGCCCGTGGGCTGGATCCGGCCCGTTTGAAATGAATAAAACTAAAAAAAAAAAAAAGACCGTACCCTTTTATGTAATGATGATGATGTTTACTTATTTATATTAGTTCACACGAACACTCCATCCATGCTTCTGTTCCGGCCCTCTGGTCCAGTTTAAGAACCCATTGTGGCCCTCGAGTCAAAAAGTTTGCCCACCCCTGATCTAAATGTGGCATATGACTAATTCAAGTTACCAGTATTCTCCTCTTCTGGGCAAGGCAGAGGTGGTTAGGGATGACCAGGCCAGCAGGGGAGCAGTTAGGGGTAATCAGACCGGTAGGGGAACAGTTAGGGGTGATCAGGCAGGCAGGCAGAGGTGGTTAGGGATGATCAGGCAGTTTCCGCTACCATTTGGGGGCTTTTTCTTCCTTTAAAAATTTATCTGTCCAAGTCTTAGCCCCCAGTACTTCAAAGTGTGGCCTTATTTGGGAATAGGATTGTTGCAGATATAATGAGTTAATTTAAACTGAGGTCATTGGAGTAGGGTGGGCCCCTAACCCAATACAGCTGATGTCCTTAATGAAAGGGGGAAATCTGGACACAGACATGTGTGCAGGGAGAACGCCCTGTGAAAATGAAGGAAGATATCAAGATGATGCCTCTAAAAGCAATGGGTCCAATGCTGCCTATACCTTGATCTCAGACTTCCAGCCTCCAGCCCTGTGAGACAGTGGATTTCTGTTGTTGAAGTCACCCAGCCTAAGTACCCAGTGATACCTGGTTATAGCAGCCTTTGGAAACTAATACAGAGATGAAAATAGTTACCAGCCCTGTGTTATGAATGAACAACATAACCATACTGGGAGTGGCAGCAGAAAAGAACTAACCTAAGCAACTTTGGAAAAAAAATATTTTGACTATATATCTAAGGCGAAGGAAAAAAATATTGAACACAAACATTGAAGTGGCTGATCCTGGGGTTAGGGCAAGGACTGTACAAGATGCATGTGAGACAGAAAATAAGAACCACACACACAAAAAGTGATAGAATAAGTCAAAAGGGCACAGGAGCCCATCTGAACGGGCTTCAATGGTCAAACATGGGAAAATTTGAGCAAGAAATTCGATATTAAAATATTAAATTACAACATCCTATATAATAAAGAGCTAATATGCAAATTGTTGTCACACCATCATGCCAAGGGCTCAGGCACTCAACACTGGGGAGAGAGGAATGGGGACCAGCCAGGCACAAATGAGCTCGTGAGAGAGGAATGGGGACCAGCCAGGCACAAATGAGCTCGTGAGAGAGGAATGGGGACCAGCCAGGCACAAATGAGCTCGTGAGAGAGGAATGGGGACCAGCCAGGCACAAATGAGCTCGTGAGAGAGGAATGGGGACCAGCCAGGCACAAATGAGCTCGTGAGAGAGGAATGGGGACCAGCCAGGCACAAATGAGCTCGTGAGAGAGGAATGGGGACCAGCCAGGCACAAATGAGCTCGTGAGAGAGGAATGGGGACCAGCCAGGCACAAATGAGCTCGTGAGAGAGGAATGGGGACCAGCCAGGCACAAATGAGCTCGTGAGAGAGGAATGGGGACCAGCCAGGCACAAATGAGCTCGTGAGAGAGGAATGGGGACCAGCCAGGCTGCGGCCCAGGAGAGGCCCAAGCCGCCTGCCCCATGGTTCCGGGTGCTAGCGGCTGGGGCTGTGGCCTGGGAGAAGGACAAGCTGCCTGCCCATGGTCCCCTGCAGCTGCAGCCAGCCCAGGCAAAGCCATCCCGGATCCTGGGTGCCTGCGGCCGGCCAGAGGGAGGGAAACCCAGGTCCAGGGTGCCTGCAATTGGCCAGGGGAGGGAATCCTGGGTCCCAAGTGCAGGACGAGGCAGAGGCGGTTAGGGACGATCAAGCCAGCAGGGGAGCAGTTAGGGGCAATCAGACCAGTAGGGGAACAGTTAGGGGTGATCAGGCAGGCAGGCAGAGGTGGTTAGGGATGATCAGGCAGGCAGAGGTGGTTAGGGGCGATCAGGCAGGCAGACAGGTGAGCAGTTAGGAGCCAGCGGTCCTGGATTGTGAGAGGCAGTCAGACATCCCCCGAGGGGTCCCGGGGGTGAGAGGGTGCAGGCTGGGCTGAGAAGACTCCTCCTGCACGGATTTGTGCACCGGCCTCTGCTGGGAGCCAGTCCATTCTTGCTGCTTGACACAGTCGCTGCAGGGAAGAAACATCTGCACAGCATATGTTTCAAGGGACTTGGCGTATATGGCATACTGTTCTTAATATGTTTGCTCACCTTCTTGGCGCTATGTGTTTTAACCAAGGTCACCTCTCTGAGAAAGGTTGTTTCCCCAGGTAGGAATTTTCCCCTGAAGTGTGGAGAAACTAGAGACAGAACCTAGGGACAGAAGCTAGAGACAGAACCTAGAGACAGAACTTGGCTGGAGATCCTAACCAGAACTTCGCTGGATCCTAACCAGAACTTCGCCATTCCTTATTTGCCAACTCCGTCCACACCTTTGGGGACCCTTGGACCCGCTGGGGCTGGACCCCAGCAGGCCTCTAGTATAGAATAAAACAAGGATCATGAATCCATACTGACATACAGAGACAAGAAGGACAAGCTCTTCTTTACAGTAGAACATGAAAATAGAACATTATTTGCAAACACAATGGAAATAACTTTCTAGGTAACTCATGAATGGAGGCCAGAAAGAGTGGGTAAAATTCCATGAGAAATGGGGTATTGACTTAGACTCAGAGATGAAGAAACCTGGCAGACATCACCCTAAGCAAGTGATGGATGTGAACTTCATCAGGAATAGGACAAACAGCGTGTCCCTCCTGATATGATGCCCTGAGGACACAGCATCACTTCTGTGGTATCCCTAACAAACGTGTGTAACTTGAATTTAATCACAAGGAAACCTCAGCCGAACCTCAAATGAAGGCTATTCTTCAAGATAACCAGCCAGTTATCTTCACAGATTGTCAAGGTCACGAGAGACAAAGGACTGAGAAACTTCCAGACTAAAGGAGGTGAAGGAGACATAACAGCTAAACGCACAGAAAAGGGCTATTAGCGGGACTGGTGAGATTGGAATAAGGTCTAGAGATCAGATCATGGTATTGTCTCAGTGCTAATTTCCTGGCTTTCATCACGGTATTGTGATTATGTAGGATGGTAACGTTGGAGGAATCTGGATGAAAGATATACAAAAATTCTTTGTTCTATTTCTGCAATATATTTAAATCTTGAGGAGGGGGCATGGGGGGAGACAGCCTTTGTAGTGTGGGCTTGCCTCACTCCAGCAGACCAAATCCTCTTGGTAAGGTCCTTGTAAGACTTTTGTACTTGGCTGTTCCTGGATGTGCCAAATTCTGGAAGTGCAGGCCAAGCCCATTACAGCTCTCTTTGCTTTGCCATCACAGACTTTTCCAGGCAAGAGTCAGGTAGGCCCTAGCTGGTTTGGCTCATGGATAGAGCGTTGGCCTGCAGACTAAAGGGTCCCAAGTTTGATTCTGGCCCAATTCTGGGGATTGATGCCTACGTTGTGGGCTCGATCCCCAGTAGAGGGCATGCAGGAGGCAGCTGATCAATGATTCTCTCTCATCATTGATGTTTCTGTCTCTCTCTCTTCCTCTCTGAAATCAATAAATTTTTAAAAAATTAAAAAGAAAAAGAGAGAGAGAGAGTCTGGCAGCAGTCTGTGGATCCATCTAAATTCCAGGGAACACAGGTCAAATTTTCCAGAACTCCTTCACCACCCTTTGCTCCAGTCCATGGTAGCACTGGGGCAAGTGGAGCCTCCCGATTCGGCTTGAAGTAAGGGTAGGGAAAGCCCTCACTTCCTTTCAAAGGATTCTCTCCTCTCCTCGGTGCCTCTCTTGGGTGCTTTTCTCTAGTCTGGAGATGGGGGATGGGCTATAGTGCATAGGACTGGGTTAGCTACCTCCCAGAAGTAATGTGTGGATGGTGCACTTTGTCACCTGATTCGAGGCTGAATCCAGAGCCCGAGAAAATGGCTAACATGCCAGTTAACCTCCTGTAATACCTGCCACTGAAAACATTCTCAAACATGTTTCAAATGAAAAAGAAATGGTGACATTCCCTATCAACCCTTTCCTTTGTTTTGCTTGAGGACAGTCAAGGCATCCTTGTAAGGGATTGGTGCGAACATTCCTGAAGGGAAATGGAGCTGGCGAGCTGTCCCTGCCTCTTGATTAGAGACGCTAGGTGGCGAATTTCAGCAAGGTTGCCATAAAACAGCATCCTATCTAAGAAGGCATCTTTGCAATAAAATAATTTACCTGGAAGAGGAGGTTCTCCATAAGATAATAAACAATACCCAAATGTAGTGGCAATCTTTTATTCAAGTCAGAGCTCTGTGTTAGTTTACTGTGTGCTTTGGGATGGAAAGGGCATTATCTTCACTCTATTCCTTGCTTGGCTTTATAATCTCTGAAGCACATGACCTTTCCCTTGGATTGGAGCTCAGGTGCAGTCTTTCAAGATTGGCTAATTCAAAGGGAGGGGTTGGCCTCTGCTGTTCCAAGATGGTGGCCCCTGGAGAGATGCAAGCCATGTGGCCAACAGGTGGCTGCCAAGTCACGCAGTCCAATGGCGGCTGTCTAAACTGTTCTTCGACAGAAAAGATGACTTGTTCATGCTCACAGGGAGAGGAGGGGAGAGAGAGAGAGAGAGAGAGAGAGAGAGAGAGAGAGAGAAACTTATTTGTGCATTTCTTGATTGATTCTTGTATGTGCCCTGACAAGGGATTGAACCCGAAACCTCGGCATATAGAGTTGATGCTCTAACCAACTGGCCTACCCCACCAAGGCTAACTATAGAAATCTCTTATCCGGCATTTAGGAGCCTTCCGTGTTGTAGCTCTAATTTTATTTTCCCAGTTTTTTAAACTCTAATTTCGCTTACTATAACCTCAGGCAAAAGAACGACCTGCTAGTCCCATGCATTTCCTTCATTTACTTGCTTGTGTCCTTTCCTTTGCTGAGAACATGGTTCCCTCCACTGATGCTTCAGGAGTCAGTTCAGATGCCGCCTCCTCGGAAAGGACTACACATTTATACTTGTTGAAGCTGGGTGATTGGCATACGGGTGTTCATCATAATATTCTATTTTTGTACATTCTTGACATTTTCCATCACAAAATGTGTTAACAAATGAAAAATTAAATAAAACTTAGAATTTAAAAAATAGTATATATGTTCATTCTATGGACTATTATACAACTCCTAAAAAGAATGCAGTGGGAAGAGAACTAAGCAACATGAAATTAAAAGGGAACTTGCAGAACAATTGCTGTCCTCTGCTTGCGTCCCCCCAAAATTCATATATTGAAATCCCACCCCCCAAAGCTGATGGTATTAGTAGGTGGGGGCCTTTTGGAAGTGATGAGGTCATGAGAGTGGAGCCCTTATGAATAGGATTCGTGTTCTTATAAAAGAGATCCCACAGCGATTCCCTCGCCCCTTACACCATCTGAGGATACAACCAGCAGTCTGCAACCTGACCATGCAGGCACTCTGATCTTGGACTCCAACCTCCACAACTGTGAGAAATAAACTTCTGTTGTGTGGAAGCAAAGGGGCCACATGCTAACCTGACCAGCTCAGGAGAGACCTGTGTGGTGGGTGGCCTTGCACACTCAAGAGACCTGAAGTAACCACAAAGGATGGTCTGAAATGAAAACCAATTAAAAAGCAGTCTATGTGGTAGCCATGTCCCAGGCCAGTATCTTCCCTGACAAAGATCCACTTCGATCTTTACTGAGCCTATTGTCTTTCTGCATCTCAGGGTAACTTGTAACTTTCCCTTTTTCCGGACCCCTCGAGGGTACAACCAATGCTCGAGGGCGCCAGGCCGCATACCACCCATTCTCTCAGTTATTGTTATCTGTTAATTGTTGACTGTTAACTATCCTGTACCCACCTGTGTAAAAGAAGCATGTGTCTATCATTTTATTTTTTACCCAATCCCAGAGTCCCCCCCAACCCCGCTTTGCTTTCTCCCACCTCCCTAATCTATCACCAATGGATTTCATGTAACCCATTTTGATTGTAATGTATAAAACAAGGTGAAAAACACCATTCTCTCGAACATTCTCTCAATTCGTTGAGATTCTGCTTCCTGGCAATTGTCAACAGTTTGGCCCAAACTCACAATTCTTTACAGGTTTGAATGTTTCTTAACGTTAACAGTCGTTTATAAGCTACCCGGTCTATGGTATTTTGTTATAGGAGCCCAAGCTATGGGCTAAGACCATGATATGTAAACTACGACCCTATTTATGTACACAGTGCAAAGATGCAATTACCTGTACATACATTTGTAAGTAAATACCTGTCCTTCTGCTACGCAAGTCCATTTCTTAGCCTATATTTATGCACATATATCCTTAGGGATCAAACTACTGGACATCCCTAAGGACGTATGTGCAAAGGTACTGAGCAGCCTGCACGTTATCGGAGCTGGAGAACTCTCTCGTTCCACCGGTTTGGGCACCTTACTCCTCTCCACTCTTTCCCTTGGCTGCAAAGTGGGGGCAGTCACATCCGCCTCCCCGACCCGAGTGGGTGCGTATTGGGGTACACGGCCCTGCTGGTCTCCCAGGCCTGGCTCCTGCCCTGCTCACACAGAAAAGGCGGACTCGGCCCCCTTCAGCCCCCAACATGACATCAAGATGCGGGGTTTCAACTTGGGCGGTGTTTCCTCCGCAAGTGCAGAGACGAGTAGGTCCGGCCGGCAGCTACATCCTTTCTTCCCAACAAAGAATGATCCGGAGGCCCCTCTGTCTCTGGAACCTGCAGCTTTAACTTCGGGAAAGCGGTGAACTGTGAGCCCAGGCCGGTAGGCAAGTCAGACATCCTGGTTATGCCGGTTTGGAGGCCCGCGAGGCATGAGGGGAGGCGGGAAGGGAGTCGAACGGCTCTCTGGCTCACCACCCGCTCGCCCTGCACGCCCCGCACACGCCGAGGGCTGCCGTCGCCATCTTACAGGGTGGGCTGCGCAGGCTTTTGGCGCCAGGCCCGCGCGCACGAGCAGGACGTGCAGG